GGACTGAATTACTTGGCTGAGGGCTGAGGACCATGGTATTGGGGGACATCTAGCTTAACAAGCATAACACAGTTTATAAAGAAAATGTTCTACATCCTACTTTGGTGAGTAGTGGGTAGGGTCTTTTTTTAAAAGCTTGTGAGCAGCCATCTAAGATACTCCAGTGGTCCCAATGAAGAAAACCAAAGACACAAGGAAAAGATTAGTCCAAAGGATTAACGGACCACAACTACCACAGCCTCCACCAGACTGAGTCCAGCACAACTAGATGGTGCCCGGCTACTACCATCAACTGCTCTGACATGGATCACAACAGAGGGTCTTGGACAAAGCTGGAGAAAAGTGTAGAACAAAATTCTAACTCGCAAAAAAAGACCAGACTTACTGGTCTTACAGAGACTGGAGAAACCCTGAGAGTATGGCCCCTGGACACCCTTTTAGCTTAGTAATGAAGTGACTCCTGAGGTTCACCCTTCAGCCAAAGATTAGACAGGCCCATAAAACAAAATGGGACTAAATGGGCACACCAGCCCAGGGGCAAGGATGAGAAGGTAGGAAGGATCAGGAAAGCTGGTAAAGGGGAACCCAAGCTGGAGAACAAAAGTACGTTGACATGCCATGGAGTTGGCAACCAATATCACAAAACATTTATGTGTTTTAATTGTTTATGTGTCTTAATTATATGTATTGTTTAATGAGACACTAATTTGCTCTATAAATCGTCATCTAAAGCACAATAAAAAAAAGAAAGAAAGGGTATTCAAATTGGAATGGAAGAAGTAATACTATCCTTATTCACAGATGAGATGATAGCATACATACAGAATTCTAAAGATTCCACAAGAAAGCTATGGAGCTAATGGAAAGATTTAGCAGAGTAACAGAATACGAGATCTTTATAACAAAATCAGTTGGATTCCTATATACAAACAGAGAGAACTTCCAAAGGAAATCAAGAAAACAGTATCATTTATAATTGCCCCTAAAAAAATAAAATAGGAGAATTCTGACCAGGGGAGTAAATATACAAAGAAAACAACAAAACACTACTCCAAGAAATCAAAAGATACCCACATAAATGGAAAAACATGTCAAGCTCATGGATAGGAAGACTCAACATTGTGAAAGTGTCAATTTTACCCAAAGCAATCTACAAATACAGTGCAATTCCGATCCAAATACCAACAGCATTCTTGAACGAGATGCAAAAACTAATCACTAACTTTATATGGAAAGAAAAGAGGCCCCTGATAAGTAAAGCATTGTTGCAAAAGAAGAACCATGTAGGAGGCCTCACACTACCTGATCTCAGAACCTACTACACAGACATGGTAGTCAAAACAGCCTTGTACCGGTACAATGACAGACACATAGACTAACTGAACCGAACTGAGAACCCAGGCATAAATCCATCCTCCTACGGTGAGCTGATCTTGACAAGGCCCCAAAGACCATTAACAAATGGTGCTGGAAAAACTGCATGTCCATGTGTAAAAAAAATGAAACAAGGCCCATACTTCACACCATACACAAAAACTAATTCAAAATGTATCAACGACCTAATATAACATCAAAACTATTACGATCATGGAAGAAAAAATAGGTACAATGCCAAAGGTCCTAATATACGGCATGGATAGATTGCAGACCACAACTAACAATGCACAAGTAGGTAACCAGGAGCTCCTAAAAACTAAACACTTATGCTCATCAAAAGACTTCGCCAAAAGAGTCAAAACAAAACCTACAGATTGGGGGAAAAATTTTGCCTATGACATATCCGACAAGGGTCTAATTTCTATAATCTACAAGATACTGCAGCACCTCAACAACAAAAAGACAGATAATCCACCTAAAAAATGGGCAAAGGATATGAACAGCCACTTCACCAGAGAAGACATTCTGGTGGCTAACAGACACATGAGGAAATGTTCGCAATTGCTACTCATTAGAGAAATGCAAATAAAAACTACATTGAGATACCATATCACACTGACGTTACTGGCACGAATTAAAAAAACAAAACAAAACAGAAAATAGCAAGTGTTGGAGTGGTTGTGGAAAGATTGGAACCCTTATGCACCCCTGGTGGGAATGTGAAATGTCCAACCACTATGGAAAATAATATGGCACTTCCTTAAAAGGCTAGAAATTGAAATACCGGAGAATCCAGCAATCCTACTCTTATGAATATAGCCTAGGGAAATAAGAGTCATCACAGGAATAGACATATGCACACTCATGTTTAATGCAGCATTTTTTACAATAGCAAAAAGATGGAAACAACCTAAGTGCTCATCAACAGATGAATGGATAAACAAACTATGGTACATACACACAATGGAATACTATGCAGTGATTAAGAACAATAATGAATCTGCAAAACATCTCACAACATGGATGAATCCGGAGGGCATTATGCTAAATGAAATAAGTCAATCACAAAAGGACAAATACTGTGTGAGACCACTATTATAAACATTCATGAAAAGGTTTACACACAGAAACAATCTTTGATGGTTATGAAGGAGGGGCGGATTGGGGTGGGGAAATCATTAGATAGTAGTAAGTGTTAACTTTGGTGACGGGAAAGACCGTGCACAGTACAGGGGAAGTCAGCACAACTTGACCAGGGCCAGATCATGGAAGCTTCACAGACACATCCAAACATCCTGAAGGACTGAGTTACTGGGGCTGAGGGCTGAGAACCATTGTCTCAGGGGTCATCTAGGTCAATTGGTATAACGAAGTTCATAAAGAAAATGTTCTACATCCAACTTTGGTGAGTAGCGTATCGTGTCTTAAAAGCTAGCGGCAGGCATCTAAGATACATCTACTGGTCCCATCCCATCTGGAGCAAAGGAGAATGAAGAAACCCAAAGACACAAGGTAAATATTAGTCCTAAGGACTAATGGACACATGCACCACAGCCTCCACCAGCCTTAGCCCAGAACAACTAGATGGTGTCTGGCTACCACTACCAACCACTCTGACAGGGACCACAATAGAGTCCCGTACAGGCAGGGGAGAAAAATGTAAAACAAAATTGAAATTCACACACACACAAAAAGACCAGACTTACTGGTCTGATAGAGACTGGAAGAACCCCTGAGACTATAGCCCCCAGACACCCTTTTAACTCAGAACTGAAGCCACTCTCGAAGTTCACCTTTCAGCCAAAGATTAGACGGGTGTATAAAACAAACAACGTGAGGGACGTGCTTCTTAGTTCAATCACGTATACGAGACCAAAAAGGCAACACCTGCCCAAAAGCAATGATGAGAAGGCAGGAAGGGGCAGGAAAAATGGATGGATGGAAACGGGGAATTGGGTTGTGGAAGGGGACAGTGTTGACACATCACGGGGATTGCAACCAATGTCACAAGACAATTAGTGTATAAATTGTTGAATGAGAAACTAATTTGCTCTGTCAAGTTTCACCTAAAGGCACAATTAAAAAAAAAAAAAAGATAGGGGACGTGGACGAGACAGAGTAAATGCAGTCAGTGACCGTTTAAGCGGACAGCGTCAGCAGGGGTGGTTGCTCGGGGCTAGACTCTCAGGCCCTCGCCATGATGACAACGGACCATATACCACACAGCAGAGGCAGCCGCTGAGGCTGGTGTCCCACGGAGGGCAGGTAAAATGATCATACCTAGACTGCGTTTGAAGCTGGAACCAGCAGAGGGGACCATGTGGCGCAGGGCTGGTTTCCCTATGTCAGGGGTCATGTCAGCTTCCCAGTGTGTAAACAGTATCTAGGTAAGGAGAATGAGGGCAGAAAGAAAGACCTCACAGAGATTTTAGACTTTGAATTGATTGAATACTTGCCTGAATTACCTATGATACACAAACTCCAACGGCTTTCTGCTGGGTTGTCTTCCGTTCACAGGAGCAGGGGTCCGTACAGGGCAACGCTGCACTCGGTAATAGGGAACGAAGACATCTATGTTACTTTGCACACCTGAGCAATATGCACAAATACTCCATTATTACAAGGACTCAGTTCTTCGAAAAAAAAAAAAAAACTGGCTAAAACAAACAAATGAACAAAAAGTTCCAGTAATCGAAATGATTGACCTCAATTTAGTAAGGTAGCCTATGAGACCTCGATATCAAAATAGTATAAATTACATTAATCATTCTACATCTTGGCCAAAAAAATTAACTGGCTTTTTTCTATGAACATGTTATGTATTCTTTAAAATTATTTAATTCTTGGAAATACAGATACTGTTGAAACTTTGAATTTTAGAATGTAAAATTTAGAATATAAAAGGTATATGAAAAAAACTGTATTTGGTATTGTTTAATATTATGGGATAAGTTTAAAAAATATTTAAAATCTATTTTTATTTGGCAAATTAATTGTATATTACTAGAACAGTGGGGTAAATTGACAATTTGGACCATACTCTATAATTGTAAGAGATAAGCATTTGTTTTTAGAATTTCCAAAAGTGTTCGCAGTGCTTAAAATTGTAATCAGGACTTGGGGCATAACCTGTCATTTAGTTATGATCTGCTGGGCACATCAAGCGTTTTCCATATTTTCACAAAGCATTAAGAAGCCTGTGAAGTAGAAATGAAAGAAAATGTTATAATAGATACTCCTCAACTTTGAAATTAAATGCTCCTCAGGAAAAATATATACGTATTTTTACTTTATTTTCGGACAGAAATACTGTGTTGGTTAGATAGAACTTTTATTTTAAACAAAAAAATTAAAGTTTATTTGTTTACAAGGTACAGATGAAAGTAGTGTAACTACCTTTTAAAATGAAATTACAGATTGGATGGACACTGACCCTATACAACTTAATTAATTCCTCATATTGTAACACATTGAAATTATCTTCCACATATTATAAACTGATAAATTCAAATCCAGAACTCTTCTGCACAAATTAAATTACATGTTAACAAAATTTCTTTTAATTATACATACATAGTTATTGTGAATATGTTCTAGATATTCTTGACATTTGTTCCTTCCTTGGTAAACACTGAAAATTATGACATACGAAGACAGTGTATAAGGGACATCAAATCAGCTTTGATTCCATTATTAAGAAATCCATACAGAATCGGATTAAGACAACAGGACATCATTCCTAACAAATGACAAATGCAATACACCAACTTGAAATGCCTATTTGAAATAAGATTATCATTAAAATCAGTTACCACGTGGAAAAGATGCAGCGGCATCCAACTAACAGCAAATACTAATATCAAAATAGTCAGTCTGTAAAAAACACTTCGAGATCTTTTTTTTATTCTTGTGAGAGAACGGCTTAGTCTCATTTCATGAACATCTGAGTTTTCCTCAGGTTTCACTTCAAAGCAGGTGGGGACCCCTGGTATGAACTTACTGGATGAAGAAAGCTGACTTCTCAGAGAGCCAGGGTTTTCTGGAAGCATTCCCGAATGGTTTGCTGGAGGAGGTCTGGCTGGCGCAGGTAACACGCACGCTGTCTTCTTGCTGTAGCTTCTCTTGTGTTTTCTGATGAACGAGTCACCCCATTTACGGCTGCCGGAGCGTTTCACCGGAGGCCCACTCTTTTTGGCTGGATGAAGAGTTAAGTTGATCATCTCGTTTTCTTCTAGTCTGTTTTCTTTACTGGACACCCCCCAGCTTATACTCCTGCAGACGCTGGTATGACTGACAGTTAAACAAACTAAGGGCAGAATATACTGAACTAGCAATAAAGAGATGGTGAAAGCAATTCTGTATGAATCAGACGGCCACGACTCAACACATAAATACCTGCTGCTCAGCGACCTGGAGCCGAACGTCTCCTGAAGCTCCACGAGACTGTGGAACGCTGGCAGGGGAGAGCAAATGGCAAAACCTAGCGTCCAGACGGTAGCCACCAAGAAGTAGCCATGGTTTGCTGTTAAACTATTAGAAAGGGGGTGCTTTATCATATGATACCTGACGACAGCAATTGATATTAAAATTAAAGTGGAAACCAGAACTGACACGCACTGAAGGAAAGGCATCGTATGGCACATGACTTTGCCAAACACCCACTGATCCAGCAGGACAGATGTCAGTGTGAAAGGTGAGCAGAACAGCACAACCAGGATGTCAGAGAAGGCCAAATTTCCTATCAGGAAGTTTACTACAGTCTTCTGATTGCACTTTCTCGTGAGAGCCGTTAAAATCAGCAGATTCCCCGTGAAGCCAAGAAGACTTACAAATGTGTAAAGCCCAATCAGAAAATACTGTAAGTCATCGACACTGCTTTTATAGTCTTCCCAGACTGGAAAAGCAGAATTCCGGGTGACGGCGGTATTGTTCTCTGTGGCAAGTGTCCTGTTATAATAATCCCTGACCTCGAAATCCATATTATAGTCCTGCTTGAAATAAAAAGACATTAGTTAGTAACTTGAAAAAAGTACATGACTACTAGAAATTAATCCATTGAGAGGGAAACAAAGGTTTACAATTTGCTCTCATTAACTGATTAGTCTCCTAAGAAGTTATGCTAGGGCGTTATTTTTTTTCCAAATACAGTGCAAACATCAGCCAACAACTGAAGTACGTTTAGCATTTCTGTAGCCTGTTAACTTGTGTTAAAGTAGCAGACCTTCTTGTAAAATATCTATGGGAGACCATGCATGAAAAGGAAAATGGAGACAAGAAGTTTAAGATCCCTCACGGCAATAGCTCATCAGGGTTATTCTGTAGTCAAGGTATCTGGTGTATGGTGTAGTCTTGCCTTAAAGACTTCTTAATCTTTCTTTTCTTCTTGATTCAAGGCCAAGGTTAAAAGTCACCTGTCCTTAAAGTATTCCCTGCTCTACTCAATTGGACGTGCTCTCCTCTCCTCAGAACCCTCGCAGCGTTCCTCATAGCTGTCCGATGATACGGGTCACAATCTGCTTTGCACTGCAATTGTAATGCATACCAATCTACCTTACTCACCCTGGTATCCACCATGATACACGGGGAATGAAAAATTCAAACGAAAATCTGGAAACCCTGGTGGTGCAGTGGTTAAGAGCTGTGGCTGCTAACCAAAAGTCGGCAGTTTGAATCCACCAGGGGCTCCTTGGAAACCCGATGGGACAGCTCATCTAAATATTATATACTTCAGGCAGTGTTCAACTTTAAGCTGTCTCAGGACCTAGGTGTATATAGTAGGCACTCAATTAATGGTTATTAAGCTGTATTATTGACTATGTGAGCAGACTGCTGGATGGTAAAATTATTCCACAGTCAATTCTCAGAGATTCGAGGTGTGCCAGATTACCATGAATTCGGATAACCACTGAGCAGCAGTGCTGATCAAATTTACCTGATTTCAGGAGCCTGGGTGGCTCAAGTGGGCTACAATCAGCTGCTGACCTAAAGGTTGGTGGTTTGAACCTATCCGGCAGCTCCACAGAAGAAAGGCCTGCCAAACTGCTTCTGTAAAGATTACAGCCAAGAAAACCCCCTGGAGCACATCTACTCTGTCACATGGAGTGGCTATGATCTGGGGAGTCGACTCCACAACATCTAAAAACAACAACAATATGGATTTCAGCTTAAAAAAACAGCCAATTAGTTCACATTGTTTAACCAAAAACCAAACCAAACCCATAGTGACTCTGCCCTAGAGTAGCAACCCTACAGGGCAGAGTAGAACTGCCTCATAAGGTTTCCGAGGAGCAGCTGATGGATTTGAACTGCTGACCTCTTGGTTAGCAGCCAAGCTCTTAATCACTCTGCCACCAGGGCTCCCATATTGTTTAAAAGCAACAGTATATCTTAAAGTTAAATGTGAAACTGACACTAATATAACACCCCAAAGTAAGTTTTTTTCCCCATGTCAAACAAAATTAATGTCACGCCACAATGGTGTTCTTTACTTCTACATATTAGAGATTGGACAGTATTGCACAAAATTGCCTATAACATATCAATGAGAAATAAGGCCCTCTCTCCCTTTAAAAAAGTAAGCACTTTCGTTTTTTTAACAAGAATCTCCTACAGAAACTCAAGACAGCAATAGTTAATTAATTTTGGTGAATATAAATTGTTATAGAGATCCTGACATATATGTAGCTAAAAAAAAACTTTTGCTACATATCAATATATATTTATCTACTTATTTCTAGATGTAAAATTAGATAATTATCCTTAACCAAACCAAACCCACTGCCGTCAAGTCGATTCTGACTAATAACAACCCTAAAGCTATACAAACACATATATATTTAGATTAACAGGAAACTATTATCTTCAATTTATAATGAACTTAGAGGTCCTGGTCCAATAAATTTCTAACTATGAAATCCTATTGTGTGCGTACATTCATTATAAATAATTTCCGTTTTATGTACAGGGTCAGATAGGATAGTATAGGCATTGTATTGCTATGAGAAAAGTTGCTTTTCACAATTTCTACAACCGACTCTACGCTGATTGAATTACTTTCTGGAAGCTAACTACATCCCTTTAAAAATAAATTTAAAAGGCCAGGATCCTATTCATTCATTCCTAGACCCTAACCAACAATTTGCATTGTTAAGAAGTCCTAGAGCGACTCTCAGGCCTACTGACTCATCTCGTTGCTCATGTTACTAGTCATGGCCTGGATAGGTCAGGGCAGCCTTGAATGGTGTTCCTGCCTGATTTCCTGACTTCTGCTCACCCCCTGGCTTGATCTAGCTTGTTCATGATCCTGTTTATACTCATAATGTGTACAGGCTATTTGGAACTGTGATTCTGCTTATTCTTCTTTTGACTCCCTTTCTTGGATCAATGCTTTTCTCCTGACCTAGGTCAGTAGATATCGACTGTCTTTTCTACCACCACAGCAAGGACAAGAAAGAACCTGGATAGTGACTTCTACAATGGCTGCGCGCTTTCTGGGACATGGGACTGTGGGTCGACACTTATTTAGACAGAATATTGCCATCCAAAATTTCCGAAGGAGGAGCAAGTGCAGCACAATTTGCGGTGAGAGAACCAACGTGGTTGAGTGTACTGTGTATATGGAGACATTAGATATGGAAACAAGTTTTAAAGAGCCCAAAAGGAAACGAGGAGGAGAAACCTACAGACAGCCATTCATGACAGCTGAGAACTTTAGAGATTCTTCATTGATAAAAGCTATCACATAAGCAAAAACTGACATAGCAAAAAATATTTACAAAATATTTAGCATTTAGGCAGAAAAAAACATGCTCGGCAGTTTTTAAAAGTGTCTCCTGGTAGCCAGAGGATAGTTTAAACATTAAGAAAATTTTGAGCAGTAAGATTTAAGTCTTCTGTTTTAATTGAAAATTGAAAATCTAAGGTAGAGGAACTACTTTAAAATGGAAAGACAAAAAAGAAAGAATTTATTTCCTTAAACTTAATCTCTTCACTTCCTTTTTCCTGAAAACACAATAAGCAAATTGATAATGCAAATGTAAATTGGTTTAATGATGTGCTCTTCAGCAAGTGTTATAATGATGTACAATTTTATACATGTATGTGTACAATTTTATACATGTATGTAATTGTATTACAGCAAAATATTTTATACATAAGGAAAGTAACATTATATGCGAACTTTACCTTATTTCACATGACTAGAAAAATTGTAAATATAACCAAAGAGAGAGCATTTTAAAATAAAATATTATTTGACAGGAAATATAATATTGACTGTGTGAAACCTTTGTTATACCTAATTGCTGTATTTTGTTTTTCTCTTTTGTATATAGTTTTATTTCCCATTTGGAATTCCCAGGCTGAAACACACAACTTTAATCCTCTGAGTAAAGAGAGAAGAAGAAAAAAATCTTCATTAAACTGTGGCGATTTTCAAAAGACAATAAAAGTCTTCGTAAATTCTTAGAAATTGATCTATCTCTGCCACCAGGACAAATGAAATCTTTTAAATGGGCAGTAAGTATTTTAAGAACGTAGACAGTCTTTTAAAAGAATAATAGGAGGAACTGCAGGGAACTCAAAGGATACTAAGAGACTGAGTTTATACATTTAAATAAAGTCTCTTTGTTAGAATTTCCTGCTTTAGGAAAACGCACATCTTCTCACAAAGGATGCCAATCACGCAAAAGAAAAAACCCGTGTAATTTTTTCTCTAGCAACGATAATATATCAACTACTGCCTGTTTCACTGCGATCCTAGAACAACGAGATTCCATAGTCCCAATTATTCCCACGAATTATTTTTAAAACTAGAATCTGGCAAAATTAGAACTGGAAAGATAAATACAGCTCTGCTCAGCTGACAAACACACACACAAGCACGCATTAGACCCTTCCTTCTCAACCTGAACAGCACAGTCTCTCTTCCCTTCAGAAATCGGAAATCTAAAATTGCATTCCGAGGGGCAAAAAGCTGCTGGAAGAGCGCGAGGCTTTTTCCATGTTGTACTGCAAAGTCTTTTCGCCTTCGGTTCAATATGATGCCTGAGTTCCTTTAAAAGATAAACTAAAGGTCTGTAAACTTGAGGGTAAGAATTCTGTTTATCGAATTCGGCTACGTGGATGTATGTTACGCTGCATGTGTCGTATGAGGCCACTGTGCAAACAGGAGCGCACACCCAGGAGCGCAGCTGCCTCCCAGTCTCCGGGCAGCTGCGGGACAGTGCGGCAGGTGACCGCCCGAGTGGCGTCCCTTGGGCTCTGCCGTGAATACGGCCAGGGCACCCCGCTGCCTGCCGCGCCCCAGCCTCACCGTGCGCCCCGTCTTCCCCCTCCCCTGCCCCTCCGGACTAGGCTCCTACGCGGACCCCGGACACTCTCTCCGCCCCGATGCGGTCCATGCCGGCTCCACCCCGGGTGAGTTGGGGAGCCACGAAAGAATTCACCCGGGTCCCCCCCTTTCCCGCTTTCCCTTCCCGCCTACCGATCGCCTGTTCCGCCACCCACACCCCCACTTCCCAGCCTCCCTGCCTGCGGCCTCCCCACCCGGCCTCCCGGCACCTCGACGCGCGCCGGCACCCGGGGCAGGGGTGCGGACTCCCGGACCCGGGACCGAGCCGCCGCCCCAGTCGCGGCTGCTCCTGCAGAGCCCACCTCGGCGGGAAGCGGGGGCGCGATGGGGCCGCAGCCGTATCTCGAGGCGCCCCGGCCGCTGCAGGCGCCTCGGCTCCGGGGACGCTGGCTGCTGCGCCCGGGCGGCGGCGGCAGGGAGGAGGGGCGGGGAACCAGCGGATTTTAGAGGCGCCTCAGGAGCACGTGACCGCTCCGGGGACCCCCCCGAGACCCTGCTCCAGGGCGTCTGCTCCGCAGCGGCCTCCCGGAGCCCGGGCCCGGGGCACCTGAGCGCCTAGCGTGCTGTTTGGGTGCCGTAGGTAGAAGGCGCCCGGGATGGCGCCCCGTCACCCCGGCATTTGGTCCCGGCCGAGGCCAAGTTAACTTGACGTTCGTCTTTCGGGCCCCCAACCTCGGGAA